ATGCCACTTATTGTTGACGCGATGGAATTAGAATTTTTGAGAAAATATTGAATAAACGTTTGATCGAATAAGGAATATAATAAAAAATTGTCATGATGTTACTTATTGTTGACGCAGTTGACACGATGGAATTAGAAATTTTGAGAAAATATTAAATCCAAAGAAGGAAATATCGTTTCGGAAAATTATTCGATCGTTCGAATAAACTAACGTAGGTTTTAAATGATTTTAAATGTTAAATACTACTTATTGTTGACACAGTTGACGCGATGAAAGTGGAATTTTGGAGAAAATATCGAATAACGAATAAGATAAAAGATTGTCATGATACTGCTCATTGTTGACGCAGTTGACACCATGGAATTAGAATTTTTGAAAAAATATCAAATAACGAATAAAATAAAAAATTGTCATGATGCTACTTATTGTTGACGCGATGGAATTAAAATTCTTGAGAAAATATCGAATGAACGTTTGATCGAATAACAAATAGAATAAAAAATTGTCTTGATGCTACTTATTGTTGACGCAGATAACGCGATGGAATTAAAATTTTTGAAAAAATACTGAATAAACGTTTGATCGAATAACGAATAACATAAAAAATTGTCACGATGCCACTTATTGGTGACGCGACAGAATAAGAATTTTTGAGAAAATATTAAATCGAAAGAAGGAAATATCGTTTGGGGAAAATTATTCGATCGTTCGAATAAACTAACGTAGGCTTGTAAATGAGTTTAAAAGATAAACACACTATTTATTTTTTCATGTTACATCGAAAATGCGTCGAAACTCAGAGATTACGGAATAATCGGGCGTCCATGATAGACGATTAACCGTGAAAATTAGAAAACGCTTCGGGTTCGACGTGCAGCGGATAGAATTCTCGCCGGGAGCGGGAAGGCGGACGTATTTTCACAATGCGAATAATCAAATTTAAGCGTCGCGTGAACACTCGCAATTCAAACAATCGCATTTCCATGCAACGGGCCGAATATCGAACGAACCGAGCGAACCGACGCGGAGACGCACGGTTGACCGTAAATTCAGCGATACGTTTTACATCGATGATTTTACGTGAATTGTTTACAATGTAGAATCGCATCGGAGCGGGGAACCGTGATGTTTAAAGCAACCCTCGCAAGACCTCCTTATTACAACGCGTATGGCTCAACAAGTGTAACCCTCTGTTCCCTAATCATTTCCCCGCGAGCGACACGTTTTATCTCCTTTGCAATTTTCACGTTGAAATTTTGAACAATAGCTTGGAGAAAACTTCGTATCTACTGTGTCGATATCGCGAGATTTATTTTTATGGGTTAATAATTGAAGTAATGGTGGAATCTCTTAATAAAACGAGCGACGATCAAACTATTCTTAGGTCTAGCCAAATAGCTTGAGTAATTTTATTTAATCAAGTACGTCTCGGAGATCTTTCGGGACTAGGTACCCTATGGCTGGCGGAGTTCTAAAAACGACACGCAGATTCTTAAAATACTTCATCGGAGAATGCATTCGATACGTTCTCTTTTTATGGTATTTAGAGATCGTTTGTACGACGGAATTCCAATCGCGTTAATGATCGACACAGACGTTGTAGCTGTGCACTATTTCAGTCCACAACTAGGACTACTTACTCGAGCGTGCCAGTGATTCGATTATTCAAGGAATACTATTCTGATACTCGAATATTTTACCAAGTATTGGGATAACGTAGACGAATCAAGTTAGAACTCAATTCAAAGATGCACGACACTACGAAACAGTCGTTTTCGGAACCTTTTCGATTCCTAGTTTAAAGTTGTATGACGTAAGACGAGGAGAAAAAGTAGAACGACTGCAGTAACTCGGTTCTCAAAACGCCATAATAGATCAAACGCAGCGTCAACATTTTTTTAAACAGGTTGCACAGCAAGGAAAGTTGAATCCGGCAAGAACCGACGGAAAGTAAGTTTCGAAGGGGGGGAAAAAATTTTCTTACGAACGCGATACGAAACAACTAGGTCTACGGGCGAGTATTTTTGTCGTAGATTACCCGCGCGAAGTTCATGTATAGTTAATTGCCGTTTCGCCGTTGCGTTTCATTACGAAATGTTACCGTAACTGGTTATCGAGCCCCTCGTAACTGCCAACGATCTGACGGGTAAGTAGCTTCGCCCGTCCATGAATCACCTAACAGTTAGCTAACTATCGCCAGTGCTCGATCGAAAGTTCCTTGTCAGACATTCGCGAAACGTCCGCTCGATCCACGAATTTTTAACCATCCGCGATGGTCAGTGATCGTACAAATCACCTACAGTTTTTATTCCATTCCATTTTTAATAATATTTCTACACAAGCTTCTCTCCTCATCGAATATTTCTAATACACAGGGCGTTCGGCCACCCCTGGGAAAAATTTGAATGCGAGATTCTAGAGGCCAAAATAAGACAAAAATCAAGAATATCAATTTCTTCACTGAGGCTTCTAAAGTCATTAACAAAATTAAATTAAAAAATTTCAAATCATTCTGAAAAAATTATGCAATCATTTTTGGTGAACACACATACCCATGAATTCCTATCCACTTTCGAGAAAAAAATTCGTACTGAAATTTTTAAACGAAATTAAAAAATTTCAAATCATACTAAATAAATTATATTTAGTTACAGGGGTCAATTGCAAGTATTTTTGGTGAATAGACATACCCTAAAATCCTGCCCACTTTCGAGAAAAAAATTCGTTACCGAAAATACGATGTCTGACCAGAAATGATTCCCCTGTTTAATAAATCATAACTCCTCAACGGATTGGAGGATTTTCATTTTTCAACGTGCAAACAACGTGTATTTTGATGAAGAATATGTAGGAATTCTAATAATACTGGAAAAGTTGTTCCTTGACACTGTAAAGTGAGCAAAACCCCCTAAAACTGGTCCAATTTTCAAGCGGCCATAACTCCTACAATAGTAAAGGTATCTCATTGAAATCTTTTTACCTACAAAAAAGTATTAGACAACTTTTCTGTAGAGCGTCAAACAATTTATTAAAAGTGAAAAACAAATTTTTAAGAAAAATCGACAGGGTGTAGGTGCCTAAATTTCTGTGCGAAAAAAAAATTTCGAATCGTTCTGGAAAAATTATTTTCGGTTGCGGGAGTCAATTACAATAACTTTTGGTGAATACACATACCCCTTTAATCCTACCCACTTTCTAGAAAAAAATTCTGTACAGGCGGAACTTGAAACGTTAATAACTTTGTAACGAAGCCTCCATCAACAAATTAGTATTTTTGATTTTCGTCTTATTTTGGCCTCTAGAATTTAGTGGCTGAATACCATGTATATTTGTTTTCACATAGAAAAGAAAAAATAAGGATGAATATTTAAAAAAGACGAGAATAATCGACTTTTTATTGTTACGTACGAAACGTCTGATTTTTAATACTGAAATTGATCAAAATAATTGCCATTTCATATATTTCCCCCAAAGTGTGTTTTAAGTTCCTTAATTTCATTTTCGAAAAATTTGGATATCCGAAATTTCTGAATTCTTGATTAGCGTTTTTCGTCGACTCTTAATTTTGGAGGATGACACGTAGGGTGAGGCAAAGTTTCGTATTTCAACGTGGAAAGCTTCTGCACTGTTGGGCACAGGTTTAGACACTTCAATCAAGCTAGCAATCTCAGCATTATAACTAAGATATAATAACATTTAGAAACTAAGTAAAATCGGACATTTCGACGACCTAATATCTCCTGTCCGAAGTCTGATTGATCCACGAATTGAAGTAACAGTCCGTTTGGAGCGACTGTTCAACGATACCTCGAGCCACAGCGTGGCGTTCGCGTTTCTAAAAAAATTCGCCTTTCAATTTCTATCCCATTATTAGTGTTTATCAAAGGTCCTGTCGGATATTTTCTTCCCTTTTTCGGTACCCAAATATAATTTGGGTCATAGAGAGTTAACGAGCAGAAAATTGCAGCGACGTCGGGCGACGCTCGTTGTTGAAACGGGGGATCATTTGTCGGCGGTGCCTCATTGTGCGCCGAAACATGTGCAATCAAAAGGTTCTTTATGCGCCGAGAAAAAGCCCCGGAATAAAAAGAATAGGTAGCTCGCGGTAGAAAGAGCGAGCGAGCGAGGGAGAAAGGGATGGCCCGATGGAGCGAGAAAAATCAGAGACTAACTTTTCACGCGTGCCACACGCTCGCTACAGAAACGTTTTTCTGCGGTTACGGAACCGGGAGAGGAGCCTCTGGACGTTCTGCCTACCCGGGGAGCCGTCGTCCCGTGCATTTACAAAATTTCCTCGAGCATCGCGGAATTGTATCCGTCTACTTCAAAGGACCTAGGCGTCGCGAGCGACCGACAAAGCGGCCGCGAGTTAAAGAATTATCTCTGAAAGCCGTTGCGCGTTTCTCGCGACGTCTCCCTGACAAATTGCAATTTCCTGAACGCGAGAAAAATCCTGGATTCCGGGCGTACGTATTTCCCCGGGACCCGACGCCCATTCGCCAACGAATCGCCCGCCCCGGATCCACGTTGATTCTCAATGGACCTTTTTCGTGCCTTTCATTACATCGCAAACAACGAATTCCGGATTCAAAAGACTCTCGGAGAGTAATATTTTTATTATAACACGATGCTTTTTTTTTATGCAAAGTGTTGCTGAAATGGAACGAGGAAATACAAACGAACGAAATGTCGACGATATCTAAGCTTTTCTTGCGATTGACACTAGGTTTACGGTAGCGGTGTTACAGTGAAGCACCGAAATCTGGAGAATGTCGACTTTCACCGGTGAATGTCAACATTCACATAGTCGCTTAGTGTATGTCCGAAATATTTGCTAAACACCCTTATTTCTGACTTACACCGGTAAATGTTGATATTCACCATGCACTAATGGTGAGTGTTGAACATGTTGGAGATTTATATTTTCTTCTCCGTAATTCAGTCGCTATAAAACGTCACAAGGGTGACGTAACTTTTTCGCCTCTCTTTCTGAAAGGATCTTATTTATTGCAACAACTTAAACTATTATGACACTTTGAATTGCACAAGAGTCCCTTGCTTTTACAACTGCATTTATTTGTGGAACACTTCCTTTTGCAATGACAGCGTGTATAGCCTTGTCCCCCGCTTCTCGAATTAGCTGCAGCTGCTTCTCTCAGCGACATTTCTTGAAAAGAAATCTCATCTATGGAAAGTAACTTTTCTTTACAAATTACGAACTGATTACGTGTGTAAAGCTGCTTGAGGGTACCATTTTTATTTGCCAGTTTATAGAAGTCGGAGTCTTCTATTCCAACAACAACCGCTAACACATTTCGGCTATCTGTACGACCACGGTCAACATCAGGGACTTGTATTCGTACATTATCACCAATTTGAGCAGGAGGAAATTGTTTTTGTGAGGTTCGTAACATCTTTGTTGCTTGCAGTAGAAGATTTTCTTTCGCGGCCGCTATTTTTGTAGAAATCAACTCGTGTTTTTCAGACAGAATTTGATGTGAAGACGTTGTAGGTTGTAGGTCCTCTGTTTCAGTTTCTTCAAGCTGTTCTTCGGTTTCAGAAGTATTAGCAATTTCTTCGAGTTGTTCTTCAGTTTCAATATTTGCGATTTGTTCGCTAGACAAAAAAGACGATGCTATGCCTCTTTTTGCTTTAACGCCAAACATGGCTTCATAAGGACTTTGACGTATTCCTTCGTGGTATGTAGTGTTTTTGGCAAATTGAATAAAGGATAAACCATCTGACCATTTATTTGTATCGTTATCGTTCATCCATGCAGTTAGCATATTCTGTATATCCTGATTGGCCATTTCAACTGAGCCTTGTGTTTGACTATGACGAGGCTTTCCATGAACTATTCTAACATCTTTCCACATAGCGCATATTTCGGATATGACTTGATTACTAAATTCTCTACCATTATCTGATTGCAATATTGCTGGTGCACCAAATGTTAAAAATATTGAAAGAACGTGATGCGCTACTTCTTCAGCTCTTTTAGTTTTCAAAGGTCGTAGCTGGACAAACTTAGTTAAATGATCTTGATACACCATTATGAACTTATATTCGCCATCTCTGTTTGACTGCAAATCTATCAGATCAACTTGACATCTTGAGTTTAATTCAGAACTAACCATTGGCTTCACAACAATACCTTTCTTAGGTGCACTGTGTTTCATTTGACACTGTTTGCATAAATTTAAATACAACATTACAACTTCATATGTAATATTTTTGTATTTAACTTGCAACTCTTTAAGCATACGTGTTCTTCCTCCGTGGCCTATTCTGATGTAAGTTTCATATAGTATACTGTACAATACTTCATTGGTAACATAATACTGTATGTTCGTTTCCCCTGGTTTTAATGGTACAATTAACTTCTCTTCGTCATTAATTTTTAAAACATCGAAACGTTTTAATCGTCTGTAATCCAAAGGTGTGTTGCATTTAATTTTAGCAGAAACCACTTCAGAAAGTATTTTAGAATACTTTTCTTGAGAAAAATAAAAACAATTGTCTTCTCGTTTACCCGCAATTAATGCATTTAACTTTTCAGAGAAAAAGATCACGATTTACTGCAGTATCCATTTAGTATAAATTAGGGTATCGGAAAAAAAATTAAGAAAACGTTGCTCGCGTTATCAAAGCTTGCATAAGACTGACAAAGCTGATTGACTCCGAGCAGAACAAAGGATTTGGCGGGAGAGAGCCAGTCGCTTGTTTTTTGACTCTTCTGTTTTGGACCTCCACCAGAGCATATCTGTGATTGTCGACACACACCGGAGAGGGTCCGAATGTACAACAATGTAATGAAATATTCGATCTTTCACCGACGTATTTGGTATCTGTTGACATTCACCGGTGAAAGTTGACATTCTCCAATTTCGGTCATTCACGGTAACAGCGGTACGAAACTCGTAAATATTATTCGTTAGCAAAAATATGCGCTACATGTTGTGTAAATCTAGTGTTAAATAATATACAGGGTGTTCGACCACCTCTGGGAAAAATTTTAATGGGCGATTCTAGAGCCCAAAATAAGACGAAAATCAAGAATACCAATTTGTTGATTGAGGCTTCGTTAAAAAACTATTAACGTTTAAATTTTTGCCTGTAGAACGGCAATCTGCGTACAGCTACATGCATGCGATAGTGGTCCTCACTCAGCATGAGACACTCTGCTTACTGACGTATCGACAGCCTTACGGTTTTCTGAGTGAGAACCACTATCGCGCGTACGCAGTTTACCGTTCTACAGGCGAAACTTTAAACGTTAATAACTTTTTAACGAAGCCTCGATCAACAAATTGGTATTTTTGATTTTCGTCTTATTTTGGCCTCCAGAATCTCTCATTAAAATTTTTCCCAGATATGGCCGAACAGGCTGTATATACGTATATCTGGCGTGGCATTTTTATTAAAACTTTCCTAGACGAGTGACTTTAATGCTACAGAATTCCTTCAACGTATGTACACTAAAAGTGTGAATAATATTAGAATTTTTTTCCTGTGTGATCGAAGAAATTACTAGGAAAACCACACACTTGTAAAACGAGAATACCCGAGTTGTAATGTAAAGCGTCAACTCATCGTTCCTCGGAGCATCCGGTCATCTGAATTCAATTGATGTAATGATATGAATGTATACCCTAATTAAAAAAAAACTACATTTTAATGTAATTGTCGACACAGCGAGTTACAGTGAAAATATGCGCAACGAGTGTTCGTAAACCATCGTGTTATTGGTGAGACGCGGACCGATTTATGGAATAAAATAACATGTAAAGACCCCCCCCCGTATAAGGTGTGTTGCGTTCCAACGGCAAACGTTACAATTTTTTTAGCAGTTTACGGAAGAAGGAACCGACACGACCGAGGAAAATGCCGTTGCCGATCGTTTGTCGCGACCTGCTACGTACAACGCGTATTTCACGCGGTTCGTTGGAAAAAGAGAGCCGATCTGGCGGGCGCAATGATCGTAATTCACGACGGTGGCATCGATCAATCACCCGAGCACTGGCGTGCCGATCAAACCGGGCCGTTCGGGGGCTGACTGCCGTCCAATCGAGCCGTAACATCGAGTATCAGCGGCCGTTACCGAATATCATTCCCGACATGAATTATTTCGTTTCACTCGGCTTCCGTGGGACCGTTTCGTGCGGATCAATTTTCGATCAAAGGCGGGAGTGGACAGTGAGAGAGAGACAGAGATAGAAAGAGTGAAAGTGGAAAGGAGAAGAAAGAACCGGGGTCCGGAATCCGGAATCCGGAATCCGTCGGGATTTCGCAACTCGCTTAGGATTAAGTGGAAGCAGTTACGAGGAAATGCACTCAGTGGCGCATGCTGCGCATTATGGTGGAACGCGGCGACGAAGGACGAGTCGGTCGGGAACGGCTCGAGGAGGAAGAAGAAGAGGAGAGGAAAAAAAAAAGAAATGATAAAAAGTAACCGGCAGGAACAGGACGAAGCGTTCCAGGTGGCCGTGTACCGAGGATGCACGCGACCTTTCACCTTTTGCCGCGGGGGTACGGCGATTCCGTGGCTCGCGTTGGCCAACTGCGAGCCGCAGGATGTGTCGCAAGGATGTGGCAAGAACGCGCGCGCGTAAACGCCGCGAGAGGCGCGAAAGAAAGGATTACGAACACGACGTGTGTTCCCACACTCGTGCGCTGGTAATAAGACGCTGTAATAGACGCGCGACGATCCTCTTGCTTGACCGTCGCGCGTGTTTTAAGTCCAGATAATGCGATGGCGGCTCGACACAGTTCCAAACGTCGCCATATTTGTTTCGCGACGGGGCAGAGTTTTGCATCGTTTATTTTTAATCGTTCTGTACGGCTGTTAACAAATTCATGGGTGCCTTCGAGCATTATTATTATTCGTTCATTAACGGGGTAAAGTCTCTTGCGTGCAAAAAAAAGTAATATATAAGAAATAAAGATTATTAAATCATTAACGTGCAACACGCTGCGAGAATAGTTTTAGAGGTTTCGTAAGGATCGTTCAATTACATCTGTTTTCGCGCGTACGGACTTAACGCGAGTAATAATTCCACGTATAACTTCTTCGATTAGTTTACTTACGGACGTAATATCGGCGATTTTCCTTCTATCGTGAAATATTTGAAGATTTGTATTATTAAGATTGAGAGTTATGCGAGTAGAAAGGCATGGGATAACCGCTCTTTCAATGTTGTTAATGTAAGTTTCATAGTCCCAGAATAAGTCCCAGAGAACCGAGACTACGCGAAATAAGTTTTTCACAATGTACTTTGAAAGATGAGTCGGACGTGAAAGCAACACAGAGATCTTTAACGCGATTAAGCGTGGTTGGTAATAATTATAAACTAGTTTATTCGTCTCATTGGCAATTTATTTTTCACTAATTTTCAGTGCTTTCCTGCCAACGAGGATTTTATTGTTCGCGATGCCGAATCGTTTTAATTCCTTCTGTATATACGATAATAATCATCCAGGCGTCTTGCGCAATGTTCTCACAATAAAATTGAAAAAGAACAACTTCCCAGGGCCCGAGATTTACAAGCCACGCAATCATCTCGACTCACCAACTTCCTTAAGGCCTCAAGATGTATTTATACCTACACCACGTAAACTTCAACTGTTAGCGTCTTCAAAACTACCAACGCCAAATATTTCACACGTATCATTACGAGCATGCATGTTGTTATCCTAGAAAAGCTTGAGAAAATCCAAGTCGGACGGTTCCTTCCCTTGCGCGTCCCTTCTTTCCACATATTCGGAAACAATCGCTGGTGTGCGACCGTCGCCGGGGCGTTGGTGCATAGAAACTGGCGTCAATATCGGAGAAGGATATAGTCTGAACACAGAGGATGTCACCTCGACGGACAACGTCGAGGATAGGACCACCGAGTATCGTTAATCCTATAACTTTTCCGTTTGAAAATAACGATAGCTCTGACAATAACCGAACGCGTGAAACACCAAACACAAGTTTAGCAGATGTTACGAACGCGTCGATGCCTCTGCTAACCGTGTGTTTCAATTCTGTGAAAAAGCAGTTTGCAAAATACGTAGATTTCGTGCTTTTGTGCCAGAACAACCGTCGACGAATAAAAACTTTCCAATACGTCTAATAAAAAATAATGGTAACGAGGTCGCGCTCGAATTCATTTTCGTCGGAAAAATTTCATCGACGATACTTTCACGAAAATATAATAAAAAAATGTACGGATTTTAATATTCATTAGTGGACGAAATTCGTTGCTCTCGCCTGGGACCGTCGGTGCACGAGTCGAAGGGTTGCTTGCGCTAAATAAACGGCAATGGTGCTGGGAGGGGTCCTAAAAATTACTTAATGGGTATATTCGAGGGACACGGTAACTTAAATTTTAATTATATTTTCTGTTTCAATTTATGCAAATACGAATATATGAAAAGTGTTTTGTTCGATTAAAATAGAAGCGATTTATAATTGATGAATGAAAATCTTATAAAAATGGAAACCCACGGCATGGATCTGTCCTAGATCCGGACGGATCCAACCGAATACACATGGCGGTCAACGTGTTAATAACGGTGAGAAGGACGGGACGGAATAATGATTGAAAAGGACGAAACGCGCCGTACAGCTGCCTCTGACATTCTCCGTTGGTAATTACCATCAGTCTACGAACAACGTGGATAATTATTGTGTGAGAGTAAAGTGAAATATCAAGGATTTTTTGGAGCTGTCATTAACGTCATTAATACTTACACGGAGCATAACCGAATCACGTTTCCTACAAAATAGTACATCCATCTTCGTCAATAACACGCGATTAGAACTAGCGATCACACGGTTTTCCAACCTATTTTTAATAAATACTTATTCGCCTGGGAATAAAAAGCGAAAGATTCCACTTCGAATATCGTTGTTTCTGCGATCGTCTATTGATCGATGAATTTCATTTAAAACAGGCAAACCATCCGGAGGGCAGACTGAAAAACCTCCACAGCGACCTAAGCACGTGCTTATTTCGCTTATTGGTTAATTCGAACCCGTATCGGTGGAATCTTCGAGTGCCAATCGGGCTCCAACGATGCAAAAAGCTTGAAAATCGTGCTCGAGAGGCCAAGTCGAGGCAAAAGGGATACGATCGAAGATGGCCCAATCCCTCGTTGTCTCCGACACGCGGCGTATCGCGGATCGCACAGT